AGTTTTGACTGAAAATTAAATTTTTAATTAATTAATAAGATATCCGTTATCAAATTGCATATAACTGTGACATTAACAATTGTCGGAATTAAGCGGCGGCAGATCGGTCACCGGAGTAGTCGCCGAAATTAAGTGTGGCCGGAGATCAGTCGCCGGAGTAAATGCCAGTCACCGGGGTAGTCACCGGAGCAGTGGGGATGGGATGTGGTGGGGTGGGTGGGTTAATTATATTATATTACAATTAAATATTTAATTTAATATAATAATTGTGAAATATAATTAATTAATTCATGAAAAACGTAATTTTTGCAATTCTAAACCTTGTGGTCTGATTTTTTATTTTGGGATAGATAAAACTTGAGTTGTGAATTTTTCCCTGTGGCTCATGGTTACGGGCTGCTGGTGGCAAAGGGCTTTTTTTTTTTCCTTTGTGATTGGGGCGGTGGTGTGATTTGGGCTTAGGTAGGGCGGGTGGATTGGCAGGGAAGTGTTTCCCTTACTTTTTTTTGTCTACCTTTTCTTTCCTTTTTATATATTTTTTAAATTAAAAATAAAGGGATAATCGTCCTTTTATACAAAAAAGAAAAAAAAAATTTAAAGATTTTTTGATGGTTTCAATGGTTATGCAATAAAAGGGAAAGCTTGTGGACCAACTTACCATTAGGACGTTGTGGTATGGGGCACTCAATTACAACTGAAGTAGAAAATGAAAAATAATGAACACTAAAATTTTACGTGGAAAAATCTCCAAACTAATTAGAACAAAAAATCACGGGCAAATTGTGGAAGGATTACAAGAATTTCTCTCTAAAATAAGGAGAGTACAATTGACAATACCCTCTCTTATAATAGGAGAAAAATATACTCCCTCTAGTAAAAGGAAATAAAATATTTAGGAGAAACCTCACTATTTTTCTCTCTAAAAAAACTCTTTATCTTTCTCTATATTTCCCCCCCCAAAAGATGGATAATAAATTGAAGAATATAGGCATGTATATATAGAAAAGAAATACGGTTGTCACACGTTTTATACAACGTGAATTTATGCCGCAAGTGTACGGTGTCAAATTTTGTAATATAATGATTGAGTTGAGAGTGTCGAACC